CGAACGCTTACTGTTCCCGAGTCCGGCAGCTCCAGGCAGCCCAACCGAGGACGGGAAAGGAAGGAGGGGCAATAAAAAATAAAGGTGCCCGGGCTCGCCTGGCTCGCCTGTGCTCCCGCACTGCCCTGGTGTGGCGGTTCCTTGCCGTGCTCCGCCAAGTCCCTCAGCAGCAGTCTGGGGCAGAACGGAGCTGCCACCAGTGTGTGCTCCAAAGAGCCCCTCGGAGCCCCCCACGACCATTACGGCGTCGCCCTGGCCAAGGGCCACAGCGGGTTCGGCTCTCCATCCCCTTGCCCCTTACCCCTCTACCCGTTCCAACCCACCCCCGACGACTGTGCTGCTGCCGTAGCTAACAAAAGTTTTTATTCTCATCCTCGTTATCTCCAAACTGGCAAAGTGACCAAGAACAAACAAAAAACTTGTTTTAATGTAAGGGTTGCTCACCTGGTGCAGTAAAGGTCAGTTCTCAGAGCAAAGGACTTCCACTTCCAGCAAAGTCTGGTTTCCCGGCTTACTCAACCGGAAGAAAGAGCTCCATTAGCTATTTTACATACACTCTTCTAAATCTGTTTCAAAGGCATTTGATGTAGGGTATAAAGATGCACCTTGCACTGCTGTCAACACCCAGCCAGAGGCTGGGGCTCGGGCGCTACGTGTCTAACTCCCCCACAGAGGCAAAGTAGCAGATTTTTTTTTTTAAAGTCAAAATTTATAACCCTTTTCACCAAATTTCAGCCCTTGGACACTCGGCAAAGCTTTTTCCAAAAGGTTTTGGATTTAATCGCAAACCATTTGAGGTGTGTTTTGATCCGACCACTGCTTTGCCTTCATTTGTTGTAAGACAAAAGTAAAATCGAACCGGTTTCACAGACAAGAAGTCGGAGCCCGGGGTTTGGGGTGTGCTCAGGGCCGAGCCTCCGTTGACAGGACCCTCCCGGGGCGCGGCGGAAAGGGGTGAGCTCCCTGCCGGGACCGCCCGCCTCAGATCCCCCGGGATGCCGCCGGCGGCTTCGGACGCTGCTCGACGGTTCGAGGTGGGGGTTGCAGCTGGGGAAAGGCCGGTCCCTATAACCCCCCACCCCCCGCCCCTACTCCGGACCACCGCCTCTTTGGAGAGCAGAGCTCCTACCTCAGCCTAGTCACTGATTAGTGCTCCCTCGGACCTGACGGGGCAGGAGAGGTGCAATTCTTGGCAATAGGCAATATTCACCGTAAACCACTGTGATGTTCAACCGCTTAATTCTGGCGTGGCCTTGAGCACCGCAGGAGGGTACAGAGGGAGCCAGAGGTTGGGGCCGGGCCCCTGAGGCCCCCCCCGGGGCCGCCATTCGGTTGCCAGCGCCTTTCGGTGGGATAGGCGCGGCACTCGGTGCACAGGAGAGCGCATCCCCCCCGGCTGGGGCCCAGGCGAGGCCCCCCCGCACCCACAGCTCTCCGAGCAGAGGGGAGGGAAGTGGAGCCCTCTTGTAAAGCTCCCAGCGGTCGGAGCCCGCAAGATAAACATCATTAGAAATCATTGTAATTGGGATTGTGAAATCTGACCTCTGACCCGCCGGGCTACGTGTCACAACCGTGTCTGCTTTGATTCCTCGAAAGGCGGCACAAAGGAACAAGCTCCGTGACAGGAGGCAGCGGGATCTGAGCCCCGGCCCGAGAGGACCGACAGGGGGGACACGCGTGGCCTCCTCCTTCTTCCCCGAACCTCATTTGCATATGCAAAGCAGCAGGCTGCCGGGCAGCCCCTCCCGGAGGGTGGTCGTCGGCCCGGGGCCGGGATTCTGGAAGCGGTTGTACCCGGCTCTCCGGGTGCTTTAGAGGGAGAAATGAGCGTCCAGCGGAGGGAGGGGGGCAGGGGGTCGTCTGTTGGGTGTTGGCTGAGATTCACACCGCATAAACGTGCTGCTGCCTCGGGAATCGGGGGAGGGGGAAGGGAGAAGGGGAGCTAACCCCCTAAGAAGAAGGGACGGGGAGTTACCACTTCTCTCCCAGGACTTTTCCGCCTCAGTTTGTGGGTCCCCCTCCCGAAACTAGGGCTCCCTCGTCCCATCCGCCCCATCCAGTCCCCAGCTATCTGACCGGTGGCCCCAGCGTGTGTCCCACACCTCCCTGTTCTGCTGTGCTCACACCGGGTCCCGCTCCAACGGGGAGGGCTCTGCGGCCCCTGCTTTTACCTCTGAGGTCCTCGCAGTCTCCCGCGGGGCTGGTGCTGAGCCAGGGGCGAGGGCCCCCACGACTACTGGCCGAAGGGCATCCCCCGAGGGGCTGCGTGTTTCGGCAACCCGCGGGGGACAGAGGCCTCTCAGGGAACCAGCGAGAGCAGACCTGGACCAGGCTCGCCTGCACCAGTCGCCTCATATTCCCTGCTCAGCTGCTCTCGACGAGAAATCCTAAAAGCATAATTACATTAAAACCCCTGATTTGTTTAAATAATCCTCTTTAGGCTCCTCTTAATCTGCCCTGTATTTCCCTGGTCGTCTTTATTCCCGACTTGTCCGCCTCAGCTGAGCTTGGCCGGACACCCCGAGCCTGAGGAACCCCCTTTTCATTCCCTCTTCTTCCGGAGCCCCCATCCTGCGAGCGATCCCCGCGCCCGGCAGCCTGTCCCTGGCTGAGGTAGACAGCGGGCCCGGGGCCCTAGCTGCGGGTGGTGGAAGGCAGGGGCCCTGACAGCCCCGCTCGGACCAGCTTTGAAAACCAGCCTGAGCATCACTCGTGTCCCACAGGCCGGTGTCTTGTCCCCTCTGCATGGCCCGGCTGGGTCCGGCCGGGGAACGTTCTCGGGGAGCGTCGTTACCCGATTTTTAAGAATTTACATTTTTTCTCCTGTACAGTTCCGGGGGACTGCTAGGCGAAGTGTATGTGAGAAGGCAGAGAACTGAACTGAGATTAGAGCGGGGCGGGGCGATGACCTCTCTGCGTTCCCCCGACAGCAGGAAGGGTAGGGGGACGGGGGCGTGTGTCTTAACGCACACCCCGAAACCTGTAGCTTACCCAGCGGGGACCCCAGCAAGCACTTCCTCCCCCCCCCCCCCCCCCCCCCCCCCCGAGCTCTCACTTTGAAGGACGGTTTTCCTCAGTGAGGAAGATTTAAATTCATGTTTCAAACTCAAAAAAAAAAAGTAGGAGAAAGAAATGCAGAACTTTAGATGGCGCTGTACAACATTTATTTAAGCCCTCCAAGTATTCCCAGCTGCTCGGCCTGCAGAGAGGAGCACAGGCCTCTGCGAGCAGAGGAGGGCTGAGATGGGCGGGGATGCATGGGGATGCGCTGGAGTGGGATGCGCTGCGGTGGTATGGGGTGAGATGGCGTTAAGTAGGGGCTTTGCTCAGCTGGCAGCGAGGGCGGACGGCAGGGGACTCCTGCGCCTCCGTTCTCGGTTGTTGTCAACTGACGGCAGCCCTAAGGAGAAACAGTTAAAAAGCACAGAAAAATGAGAGGCCATCTCTGTTCCCCTTATCCTCGAACAGACGGAAACCCCCTAGTGCCTACGACGGGGCAAGGAGGGGCAAAGCTGCAGATTTGATGGGAGCTGCAGGCTGTGCCGGCCGCGGGTGCTGCTGCTCGCTCACCTCCGCGCCCCAGCCCACCCTGTCCCTCTCCCCCGGGCATGGCCTCGACTTCGCCCCCGTCCTCCAGAAGTGGTGCAGAATAAGGTCGCACCCCTGCTCTAGCTCTGTCTTCTTCTACCCTCCGCTCCGCCTGCTGCGGCTCCCGGGAAGGAGTTCAGAGGAGGAGAAAGAAGGGAGAATAAAACCCGACAGACACCCCTGTCGGGCGCCTGGCAGCTCTCCGCCCCCCCGGGAGCCCGGCTTCTGTAGGGACCGAAAGAAGCGGACCCCCAACTCCTGCGGCTCCGCGGGGCTCCACGCAAAGCACGCGTGGCCGTAAGGCCCCCGCACGGCGGCCCTCGACGGCTCGAGGACAAAGCCACGGGCTCGTCGGTGTTCCGGACGAGGAGTAGAGCGTCCCCGAATTTACCTGGCATGGGTGAAAAAGCAGAGCAGGGGCCGCAGCTGGGAGTCCCGCCGCGCCGCCGGCCCTCCGCGACCCCGCGCTTCCCACGGGCAAACGTGAGCCCTAGCACCGCTCCGACAGGGGAGTGGTGGGCAGCGCCGGGAAGCGGGAGCGCTCCCGGGCAGCGGTGGCGAAGCTACCATTGCCGAGCGGCAATAGCTCCGGCAGCGTCTCCTCTCCTCGCCCCGGCTCTGCCCTACCCGGGTAAATATCCTCGCTGGAAACTCAGTCGGGGAGCAGACAGACCCCCTCGGTGCGAGGCAAGGAGCTTCCACGCAAATAAACCCCTTTTCATCGTATCCCGGAGTTCTAACCATCCAGACGGATTCAGGCTTTTTTTTTCCTGCAGGAGCTGGTGATACATTATTACACCATTATTACAGGGTGGGTTTTATTTCTTGTTAAAAAGGGAGATGGCGGGAGGTGAGGCAACAGCAAAAGAATTCATTTTTTAAGAAGGTAGGAAAATAAAAATATTAAAAAAACAACAAACGAAGGTCTCAAGGTTTTAAGCAAAGGATGAGCGGTTTAAAAATTGCCGCACTGTTCTATCGAAAACAAAACCTAAACACGCCTCTGCAATGGCACTATATACACAGCGTATCGTGTATATATATATTTTTATTTTTTATATTTTTGTATATATATACATATATACAAACGTCCACACACTAAAACAAAGAATTACAGGCACTCTGGATCCTGAACACAGTCTACACTTTATTTCAGACTACAGATTTCTGAACATAATAAAATCTTTGGCTTGTAGCGGCGGGTTCAGTCTCGCAGTCTGTGGATCAGAACATTTTTATTTTTTTTTCCTCAGGAAAAATAAAAAGACAGAAATTCACACACGCACACAAAAGAAATGAGATCAAACGAAAGATCGGAAAAGTCGGACAATTGCTGTAAAACAAGAGCGACGGACATCGAGAGAAAAAAAATAAAAGAAAGGAAAGCAAACAAAATGAACAAACAAAAGAGGGGGGAAGAGATAGAAGGGGAAACTGTCCAGCAAATAGAGATCGCTACACATATTTCTTACCTGAAATTAAATATATACAAGGTCATATGCTGTTTGGCTATATAGAGATTTTTTTTTTTTAAGTGTTCATATTTTTTTTTCGTGATTGGAGTCCTTATACTATGGATAGACAATAGATCTGCTTTTAAATAACACCTGTCTGCCTCCCGGCCGGCGGGCCGGCGCCGCGGCTCTGGGCTGGGGGGGTCATTCGCTCTCCTCTTTGTCCTGCACGGTAGTGGTGGAGTGGTTGTAGAGTCCCTGGGCCATGAGGTGCAGCGCCAGTCCGTTCTTGATGCCCGTCGCTTTTTTGATCTTAGCTCGTTTGTTCTGGAACCAGATCTTGATCTGGGACTCGTTGAGGCTGAGCTCCTGGGCCAGACTCTGCCGCCGCTGCTCCGTGATGTATCGGTTCGCCTGGAACTCCGCCTTCAGCCGCTGTAGCTGCTCGGCTGTGAACGCCGTCCGCGGCCGCTTGTCCTCCTTCTCCGTCTTCTTCTTCTTAAGCTTCCTGGTGCGGGGGCCTGCGGGCAGGGTACACACATGCCGCTGGGCAGGGCAGGGCCGCGCCGCCGAGCGACCGACCAACCGACCGCCGCCCCCCCCCCCCATCCACCGCCGGCAGCCGGAAAAATGGCCGACGGCGAATTTGTGCCGGTCCCGTGTACCCCGTCCTCCACATATTCCTAATCCCGGCACCGCAGTCCCCCATTACAGCGGAGAGAAGGATGGGGAAGGAGAGGCAAGGTCGGGGCCGAGAGCGTCGCACCAACCGCGTACCCCCCACCGAGCCGGCCCCGCCGGTACCTGCAGTGCTCCTATCGCCCCCCGCCCCGACACAAGTCGGGAAGCCGCTCCGCCCGCCTCGGCAGGACGAGCCGCGCTCCCCTCTGTACGGCCCGACACCGGAGTCCGCCGGCCGGGCACTCCGCCGGGCAGCGCAGGGGGCGAGGGCCGCCGGGAGCAGCAGCCTGGCCGGGGGCTGCGCCAGTCTCTTTGGGGTGGGGCGGGGGGGAACAACCCCCACCGCATGGGCGGCCCAGTCCCGCGGGAGCCTGCTCCTCCACCACTCCCGAGTCCAGCCGATGCCCGGTCCGGGCTGGCCAGCGGCCGATCTTTTCCAGGGAGCCCCGGCTCCGCCTGCGACTCCCTCCACGAACCTCAGTCTAAAGCAGTGCCACCCGCGCCCCAGGCCTGGATGGGGCCGTGCGAAGTGTCACAGAGCTCGCCGGGAAGCAGCCCGGCTCCGGGCCGCATTCTGATGGCAGTCCCCGGCCGGGGGAGGAAGGTACCCCAGGTGCTCTGCACGCCAACCCGGCCCGGCCCGGGGGGAGCAGAAAAGGGTCGGAGCCCTTAAGAGGAGGAGAGAATGATCTACAAAAATCACCCGACAGCTGCCTGGCTCGGCGGGCGGTCCCGGGTCCTCAGCCCCCCGCCAGCAGCAGCCGCAGCCGGTAAGGCCTTCTGGCCGCCGAGTAGGCCGAAAGCTTCTCTCCTCCTCTCCCGGCGCAGACCTTCCCCAGGAGGGGAGTTCCCCGCGTCTCGGTGGCGTCTGCTGGCAGGGAGAGGGAAGGGGCCCGGCGGGATGCTCCCGAGCTTGGCCGGCGGAGGGGCAGAGGATGAGGGGAGGGAGTCGCTGTGCTCCGGTACCTTGCAGCGGGGTGCCGGCGCCTCCGACTGCTGCAGCCCGCTAGTCCCCGAAGAAGGGAGAAGCGGCTGGGACCAGCGGACAGCTCTGAGCACAACAAAGAGGACGACTGAGCAAAGCCGAGCCGCACCAGCCTGCCCTCGCCCTTCTTTCTCCTCTCCGGACTGGGGCAAGGAGAAAGCTTCAATGAGGGTATAGAGGAATAATCCTATGTCCGAAGAAAGGGAAGGAGAGGAAACGAAGGCGCAAGTGCAAAACGCCTGGAGCACGGAGGCCCTGGGAATCTGTAGCAAAACAGCCGTGGCCGGGCCGGCCGGGAGCGACGGCCACGCTGTCTGACAGCTCTATCACTCCATCAATCACAGGGGTCAATCAAAGTGGCTTTTCTGAGTTTCAAGTCGCTGGACGTGTCAATAACAGGGGATGGAAATGGCTAGGTAGGAAGCGCCGCATTGACCGCAACCAGCAAGCCGCAAAGCCGAGCTGGGGCCGGCCATAGCCGCCTTCTCCGCGTCCTGAAACGACCCCGGGGAAGCCGGCCCCGTGTCTCAGGCGAGGCACAGGGGAGCCGAACCCGGCCCCGGCTAGCGGATCCCTGGCTGCTGGCCTCAGGAGTCAAAGGGGAGCCCTCCCTCCTCGCCTTCTGCTTCTTTCAAAAAAAAAAAAAAAAAAAAAAAATATTTGAAACAGAAACTAACGGTGATGAAACAAGGGGCTGCCGGGGCATCTGGGGGAGTTTTAAGTTCCTTGAAGGGGCGACAGAACGGGCTGAGGCCGGAGATTCGGGCAGGCGGCTCCCACCGGGGCAGCCCCAGGCAGAGGCACGTCCCCTCCCGAGAGCCGGGCCTCATACCACGGCCGGGAGCACCGGCTCCCGCGGCAAAGCGCGGCCTAAGGGCCTCAGCCTCGTTGCAGAGGGCCCGGTAAACAGCCTCTCCGCCACCTTCCTAAAAAAAAACACTAAATATTTTTCTTCTCTTTCTGAGCAAACAGATCTCGGCACGCACCTCCAGCAGCCGCTCAACATGTGGCTCAGGACTCGCCCCCGCCGCCACCCCTGAAAGGCCACTAGCACCCAGGGAAAAAATAAAAGGGGACAAATAGCCCCCAGACACGGAAGCAGCCGAATCCGCGGCCGTTTTTCGCAGCGCTCCCGCCCCACGCCGCCGCGCTGCGGAAGAACCCAGGCTGCGGGGTTGAAGGGGTCGCTCCCCGCCGGGTCTCCGCATGAAAACGCGGCCGAATCGGAGCCCCGGCGTCACATTCAAATTTGGGAGATTCGGCGGAGGAAGGAGGGGTGGTTGGGGGGAGCACGCGTTTCCTCTCTCCCCGGGTGACCCAAGACCATCCCCCCTCCCCGCGCCGCCCCACGCGAGGTCTTTAGCAGGCCGGGAGCCAAAGCAAAGGGGAAGAGGGAAGGGAGGGGGGGGGACACGACCTTGTCACGATTTTAACAGCTCCCAGATGCGCCGCGGTTCCTTACCCGAGGACGGTCTGTCTGAATACCTAGTGCAGTAGACCCAGGCCGGCCACACCAGCGGCTGTTGCGAGTCGGGCTTTATAACAGGTCCTCCATTATTAGAGCCCATGAGGAGGATGGCGGGGCTGCCGTGCTCCCCGTACTTCGCCGGGTGAGTCTCGCCCCCGTCAGCGGGGGGCTTGACCGTCCCCGACGCTGCCGCCGCCGCTGTCGCCGCGGCGGGGCTGGCTTTGGCGGCTGCTGGCGGCGGTGGAGGCGCGGGGCCGTCAGGACGGCAGTTCGAGTCCGGGCACAGGAGGGAGGGCGGGTTGGGCGGCCGGGCCAGCAGCGGGTTGACGTTTTCTCTACCTGAGCTCTGCCCCCGGTCTCCGTCCCGCTCCCGGCTGCCTCCTCCGCCGCCGGCCGGCGCGGGCGGCTCCTTCTTGCAGCCGAAGTCCGGCCTCAGGATGTTGTCGATGAAGAAGTTGGTGGTTCGGTGGGGCGGCGGTGGGGGGGGCGGCGGGTGGCGGCGACGGGGCAGGGGCAGGGAGCAGGGCGCAGCGGGGGAGGCGGGCGCGGGGCTCGGGGACACAGGCACGCTCTCGCCATCGCTGCCGCTGCCGCTGCTCGCCGGGCCAGGCGCCGCTTCTCGGTGGCCGTGCCCCTCCGGCGGCTCTTCCATGCTCAGCCCCCGCCACGGAGCTCGCTGCCTCCTTTCCCCCCCACCCACCCGCTTTACACCCACCCCACTTTGCCGGTGGGTGGCGGGGTGGAAAAGGGGGAGGAAAAATATGAGAAAAATATATCTATTAAAAAGAAAAAGAAAGAATGAGGGAGAGAAAAAAGAAAAAAAGAAAAAAAATCCACTTGTTGGGCTGGAGCTGAGATGTTTTTTCTCCCCCTTGCACGGATGGATCCAAAACCGGGGAGACACTCGAGAGCTTCTCTCCCCCTTCTCCCGATCGGCTTATATTTCCATCAAAAAAAAAAAAAAAAAAAGTGAAAAAAGAAAACCCCCTACACTGACCCCAAAAAAGTGTGCGGCGGCAGCTCCGCTCGGGCCCCAAAAAACCCGCCCCAACAAAAGCCGTCAAAATCTGCCCATCGCCCCGCCGCTGCGGCTGCTCCGCGCTCCCCGCTGTCACGCTCCGCTCTGCCCACGCCGCGGCTGCTGGGGCCCGTCCCTTCCAGCGCGCTGCTGCCCGCCGACCGGGCCGGGATATTAGTAATTAATTTTTTATATATATATTTTCCCTTTTTTTTTGGTGGTTTGGGTATTTTTTTTGGCTTGAAAAAAAATTAAAATTAAAAAAAAAAAAAAGCCCAAATCTCTGACAGCTCCGGTCCGTGCAACAAACTCTCCCTAAAAAATCCCTCAGCCACACTTTTTTCACTCGCACCGGAAGCACGTGAGGTGGCCCCGCACGTGGGGGCGGCCAATGGCGCGGCGCCGCCGCCGCTGACACCCCGCGCAGCCGCCAATGGGCGCCCGTCGGGCCGCCGCGATAAATACCGCGTGGGGACGGACCGGACGGGACGGGACAGGGCGCGACGGGGCGGAGGCACCGGCACCGGGCCCCGCCGACAACGGTGTGCAGGCACCCCCCAACCCCCGCCCAGCCCTGTAAACAACTTCTTCCAGCCGCGTCGTGTCTTGCGCTGAAGTTGGTCATCGGCCGCTTCCCTATTGCCCCCCCCAAATAATACCCCCCCCCCCCCCGAAATCTCTTGCGTCCTCTTTTTGTCTTTTGCGTTTCTTTTTCTACTCCCCCGCAGCCGGGTTTGGCAGCGAGGAGAGGTGGCGAGCGCGATGAGGGTTGAGAGGCATCAAAACTTCTTTTTGAGGCATGAAAATTAATAGCAATAGTAATAACAATAAATAAAGGCAGGAGCCGCTGCCGGGGTGAGCTGGTCTTAACAGCTGCAGCCGCTCGACTGGTTTGTTCCTCTGTTGGGATTTTGGGTTGTCTTTTTTTCATTCTTCGGAATATGAAGCAAATTAGCTGACAGGTCACAGCTCAGTTCGTATCATGTCTTTGATGTTTGTTTGGGTTCGGTTTGCTGCTTTCTTTTTCATGTTTTCTTGTTTCTTTGTTTTGTTTTTTTGTTGTGTTTTTGGGGGGATTTGGGGGGGGTTGGGGGGATTTTTTTTTTCCCCTGGATGTTTCTGGGGGGTGGGGTAGGGTGGGGTTTTTTGTATTTGTTTTGGGTTGTTGGTTTTTTTTTGCCCGACAAAGAGTGAGCACCTCGCCTCACGTGTAGAGCCAGAAGGGAAATTTAAAGGATTTTAGAAGCTGGAAGCAAAAAGCCACTCTTTGGGGACTGATGAAGCTCTTACAGAAAATAATTTGCAGAAAAGAAAAAGTACAAATGCCCTGAGCCCAGTTTGGATTTTGCTGGACTGCCAGGGCCGAGCTAGGCGCCATAGGAAGGGTGGCTCTGCCGCCGTCGGTACCTCCAAACCGGCTGCTCCCTGCGTGGAGGTTCTGCTGCCCTGGAGAGGGAAAATGTCGGTGTCCCCACGAACGGACACGAGGGGGTGGGGCTCCCACGACATCTCAAGTTTTACACGACAGCGTGTCCCGACGGGCCGGGGGCCCCGAGGCCCGGTCGCTTCCCGGACGACCGCAGACACCTGCTCCGGGCCGGAGACGCTCCCCGGCCCGCGGCTGCTTCCCGGGTATGCGGGAAGAGCAATTCCCGGCGTTTTCTCCTCCTGACGTAACAGAAAATCCCCATCTTCTTCCCCTCCTCAAAACGGCGGCCGGGCAGCAGGGTTGAGGAGGCCGCGGTGTCCCGCGCTCTGCTCTGCGCCGCTCCGCGCCCTTCCGTGGGCCGGTCCGCGTCACTCGCCGCCGCCTATGTATTCTGTATGTGCACGAGTGCGTGCTCAACCCCCCATACCGGCATGTGTCTTGTGTCCCGGCGCTCCCCGGCAGGCTGAGACGCAGTGCCTGCAGCGGCCGGTCCCCTCCTCGCCCCGCCGGCCCAGCCCGGCTCTTCCTTCCTCGGAAGCCGCCCGGGAGGCGACCCGGCACGGGGTTCCGCTTTCGGGAGATAACCGGCACCGGGAGCTGGAGGAGACACCTCCGGGGCCCAGCAGCAGCTCCCCCGGTTACCGGGCAGCGTGTGTGTGCTCCCATCTCCGAAGCACGATAGTTGTTTTCCCCACCGGGAAAACGTTACCGAATTGTTACTTCCAGTCATACAATAATCCCCTAAAATAATAGCTGGCGAAACACAATCAGCCCCAGAATCAAGAGCTTCATCCGCAATTAAATGAATGTTAGCCCCCCCCCCCCCCCCCCCCGCATTCACAATATCATATCATTTACTCGCACCGAAATTGGGTTTATTTATATTTAAGTTAGCAAAATTGAAATCTTTATCCCAAAAGCGAGCGTGGGTACTTAATTAAATTCTAATTAGGACACTATCAATATCCCATTTAGCCACGTAGCCTTTGTGAGCCGCAGTCCCTTTCAGAGCTGTAAATGGGGGCTCGCTGCCTTATCTCTCCTGCAAGAGACGCCTTGAGAAGGGCTGCAAAAGATAATTTATAGGTTTTAATTACTCTTCATTCCGCCTGATCAGCTTGGCGTTCATCACAGGACGGCGAATAAAACCTGGTCAAAAGCACTGTCACTATTCCCTGGCAAGACGCTTAATCAAAGTAAGCAGGGCCATATTACACGCTGCGAGCTTCTTCACGTAATTTCCCAGCTGCTGATAAAGCTAGTTGAATAATGCTGCAGTCCTTCGGAGACACCATTTACAGAAATGACTTTATTGACGGCTTAACGTCGGTAATTCATTTTACCTTTCATGTATTGGGAGCCCGGATTTGTTACAGTAATAGGATGATAAATGTCCTGGCGGCCCTATAGCTTTTATTATTGAATACAATACACACACCCATCCTTAAATGTTCCAAAATTGGGTAACAAAAGGGAGAGAGAGAGAAATCGAAGCCTTTAACTATCTAATTTGCCTTCCCGAGGGCGGGGGGGGGGGGGGGGGGGGGGGGGGGGAAGGAATGGGGGGGGGGGTGCGAAGTGTGTGCGTGTATGTATGTGCGGGTGTATGTAGGGGGGGATTATTTCATCTGGAATCCTCCCTTCTTCTAGAAACTGGTCTGGATTTTAAAGGCTTCTCTATAAATCGAGTAGGTTTGTGTACGGAAGGGGTGGGGGATCGCCTCAATGAATAAGGAGGGGTTAAAGGAAAAGACGATATACATTTCCAGGATGGATATTTTTTCCACCGCGACCCTTCCTATCGAAATAGATAAATATTACTCTCCGGTTTGTAGATACAGTAATCGGAGTAGTATGTCTGCACCGTGCCTTAAAGACGGAGGCTTAAAAAAAATAATACTCCCTTCTTAGAAAAAAGTTCACTCTGTGACTTGCGGGCGCCGCCAGGTTTCGGGGTGCCCGTCAAAGGGACCCTGCCCCACGGAGCCCCACGCCCTCTGCCGTCGTGGGGCTTAGCGTACGGAGCAGTCACCCGCACGGGAACCGGGAGCTGGGCTTCGGGGCTCGCTGCCCCTCGGAAGTGCCCTGGTGCGGTCTGAGCCTCTTGCAGGACGATGTCCCCACCGGCTCCCAGCTGCGGCGCTTGGGTCCGTCCGTCGTCGTCGTCTCGTCCCGTCCCCCCCCCCCCCGGCGTAGATAGAGAAGATGAAATCCAGGAGGGTGAAAGCAGCCGAGGGGCGGCGGGGCCGGGGAGCCGGGCCCTGGTGCCAGCCGCCGGGTTGCGGGGAGGAAGCCCGCACTGCTCCCTTCTCTGAGGCGTCCTCAGCCTCTTCGGAAACTGGCCGGAATGATTTCTCCGATTTCGTTGCATTTACTTTCTTTTGTTATTCTTCTCTTTTTATTCTGTTTGAGAGAGGCCACCAAAGGGAGGAGATTCTAAAATTTAAATTAAAAATAAAATTAAAAGAGTATCAGAATTCCTTCGCACCATTTTTTTTTTTTTCCGGCGCCCTTATAGGAAGGAGGAAGTATAGAAACGTGGTTAATATACGCTGTGGTAATCCTATTTCTAGGTCTAGATCAGATCTCATTGGGGCCTTTGCTGAAGGACATAAATGAGTTGTTCTAATACAATAGATTTCATCCTTCCTACAGGGACTGGCTGACCAGAGGTTTTGTTAAAAGTGAATACGAATAGATTTCTGCTACAAGTGCAGCATTATTATTATGAGCTGTAAGGTCAGACTATACATTCCGGGTCCCCAAAGCCTATAGACCCTGGGAAAGGCGCGGGATATACCACGTCATTGTACCTGACAGTCTCTTCAATAGACTAATTCAATTATCGCTTGGGGATTCAGTCTTCATTGAAAGCAATAATAGCAGTGTAATTCGTTGGTAAATAGGTATTGGAAGCAGCCTCGCTCGAAACATTTTTTGGGGGGCACAGGTTTATATCTTTTGGGTACCCAAATCACACCCGTACACACGCAGGGAAGGAAGAAGTGGTAGGTTTTAGGGGCAAGGAGGGCCGGGCTGTGGGGAGACGCGGTGCCGCCGCAGCCCCGCAGTTCCGACCCGGGCGGGTAGGACCGCCACCCCGCTCCCCCGAGAAGTTCCCGGGGCGCCGAGAACGTGGTGCCCTGGAGTCCTGGTGTACGGTTATGAATCAATTACTATCCGGGACCACCCCTGCCCCAGCAATGCAGACCGGATCTCAAGTCACAGGGAACTGTAGGAAAGTTTTTTATTTACTTCATTGTCTCTCCCAGCTTCCCAAGGGGGACGGAGACGAAAACATCCCACAGAAGTTTCTGGGAAGAGGAGGGAAAACTGTCTTTTTCATTCTCAGAGATATTATTGGTCTGTTTCACCTTTTACAAAGGGGAAAAAAAAAAAGGAAAAAAAAAAAGGGAAGGAAGAAAGAAAAATATAAAAAGCAAAAGGGGAAAGAAAAATGAAAAGAAAAAGGGAAAGGGTGAGAACAACAAAAAAAAAAGGAAAAGAAAAGAAAAGAAAGAAAAAAGGAAAAGAAAAGAAAAGAAAAGAAAAGAAAAGAAAAGAAAAGAAAAGAAAAGAAAAGAAAAGAAAAGAAAAGAGAAAAGAAAAGAAAAACCAAGACAATGAAATGAAAAAGGAAAAGAAAATAAAGAGGGAAAAGAAAAAAGACATAAAACCAGAAAAGACAAGGAAAAAAGAGAAGAAGCATGGAAAACAGGAAAATAAAAACGAGAGAGGAGAGGAGAGGAGAAGAGAAGAG